ACAATACTTGGGTTCAAGCCCCAGCCTTTCTTCACCAGCTTGTGATCTGAGCCAGTTAATATACATTTTTTATCTTTTTATTTTTATTTTTATTTTTATTTATTTATTTATTTATTTTAAAGATTTTGTTTATTTGACAAGAGATCACAAGTAGGCAGAGAGGCAGGCAGAGAGAGAGGGGGAAGCAGGCTCCCCGCCTAGCAGAGAGCCCGATGCAGGGTTCGATCCCAGGACTCTGAGATCGTGACCCGAGCTGAAGGCAGAGGCTTTAACCCACTGAGCCACCCACGTACCCCAATATACATTAAAAAAATAAAAAAAGATTTTATTTATTTATTTGACAGAGAGAGACCGTGAGAGAGGGAACACCGGCAGGGGGAATGGAAGAGGGAGAAGCAGGATATCCAAATGGAAGCTTCCAGTGGCCAGTAGAGTCCAAGGCTGGAGTTGAAGGGAAGGTCAGCATGGAAGTGAAAGCCAGATGGGAACATCAAGGCACTGAATGTCGATGGAGGAGGAGAGAAGCCCATCTTGGGCACCCCAAGCTCTAGAGATGCAGATGGTGGCGGGGGAGGAGGAGACCAAGAAGGCTGCTGAGTCGGGTGAAGGGAGGGATCACCTGTAGCAGATGCCGCTTGTTGGAGAGAAAGAGGATGGAGGAGCAAGCACATGCTGCTGGTCAGTGGGTGGGCGTGCCCAGAACAGCCCATGGGCAGAAAGTGTCCAGATTAGGTGTCTCCCCACCCCCTCTCTCCCTCTTTTCTGGTTCTGATGGCCAAAAGTATCACCCAGGTAAGCGCCTCAGCCAATGTCAAGGATCTTAGTGCCTAATTTTGCAAAATACTGTTCTATATCACTCCTGATGCAAATTGACTCAAGACAGACTCGTCCTCCTGGTTGAGGCTGGAAGCACGTTCCTGAAAATCACACAACTTTTGAATTCAGATTCTGTATGTCTCATCTCTTTACAATATAGAAGCAGTAACTCAGAGACATACAGTAGGATGTTGGTTTTTTGGCTAATTCCATACCTGTGGTGTAGTGAATAAATGGAACCCAGCCAGCCTCCCATGTCTGTATGATTGGCGCTTTTCAGATGCTGACCCAACATATTCTTAAACAAGCCCCTGATCATTTTTTATTTTTATTTTATTTATTTATCTGTTTATCGATTTATTTATTTTGTGGTGCTGACCAAGTTCTAGTCTTATCAATGAAAGCCCTGTTCAGAAATTTGTATAGCACTTCACAGTTTACAAAGCATTATGTTACACACAACGCATTTGAGTCTTAAAATAGTTTTGTGAGGTGGGCATATTCGTTATATTAACTGGGTGGTTTTCAGTAGCAAATATCAGCTGCTTCCTCTCCTTCCACTGTATCCCGTGCTTGAGGAATCCCCTCCTTTCTTAGCTGCTGATGGTAGACTAACTAATCCTATGCTGAAATGAGTGTTGAGGAATTAGACCTTTTATAGTTGGAAATAAAACGGCTTTCCGTACATCTGAATTTTTTGTTCACCAGACTGAATTGCTGTGATGCTGGGGTAGGGAGGTGGGCGGACAGGTTCCCGTGTAGAAAGGCAGGGGGATAACCAAGGCTAGAATGTGACAGGTTTCAGTGGTCACAGCAAAAGGTAGGGCAGTGGTTACAGATTGGCTCTTACCTATCAGCTTCAGCTAAAACTTGAACTAAAATGATTTTTAGAAAAATCAGATAATTGTAATTATCGTTCTATTTTTTTTGGATACTGCTTTGAGCTAAAATGGGTTTCTAGCCTTGTATTGAAAAACTCTTACAAATAAGGTGGTATGGTTCTGAGCTGGTAAACATTCTCTTTCTGCATCGTAAAATGATACACATCAGTGGTTTGTTCCTCCTGAGTCCTGCTTTACATGGTTGCCACAGGGTTTTTCTGGCCTGTTCTAAAATATCTTCAGCCTAACATAATTCCTTCCTCACATCCAACTTTGCGTAATATCCGATCGTGTGTGGAGGGATGAATGTATAAATCCTATGTTATCTGGCCTGCCATAGTGTAAGTTTTTTAATGGCTGGGGTGATGCCCAGGTCCCCTTTGTTACTTCTCAGAGTCTAGTTCAGGGTTTAATACATAGTAGGAACTCAACATTTATCTAATTGCCCTGAATTGGTATTGGTTATGTCATTGTTACGTTGGTTGCGTTATTCAGTGACAAATGGAAAAGGAAAATATATAAGAGCAATTAAAGATATGATCTCATTGAATTTCTTTTTATTGATTTCCTTTATTTGGTATGTGTTGTTTTGCATGGACACTATCTTTGTATTTGGCTATTTACCAATGTCCCTTGACAAAACTTAATAGAGGATGAGTTGACATTTAATCCAACTTCTTACAAGAAAATTGTCTGGTATTTGTGGGGAGAGTGTGAGTATAACAGACTCCTAATACTTTCAGGTTACTTGGAAAACACTGTATATGGTGGCTTTGGATAGATTTATTTCTCTTAAGTTTAGTAACGGGCCACATGTCCTTGGGAGTTTCGTGATGTGAATGTAAGCCCTGTGACAAAATGCGCTTATACATTTTCCGAAAGCCAGGATTAGTCTTGACTTAACAGAAATCAGCCTTCGGGTTTCAGATTATAATTGTCTGTACCTGTGTTGACGTTCAAGTAGAAATTATCTGAAGTTTTGTCTTTTGTACACAATAGTACCGGGAAACCCAAACATGAGTGGTTTCTCCAGAAAGATTCCGAAGGGGACACACCTTCTCTTATCAACTGGCCTTCCAGGTATATGCCCAGCTGAACCTCTTGGCTTCCTCGTAGTGAGTGCTTCTTCCCTGCTGACTTGCCTTGCTGTTCCACACATTACCCAACGCTAACTCTCTTCTTGCCCTCTGTTCATGGCAGTGCGTTTGACAATGATGTGTTCACAGGGGCTGCTGGAAGTTTCTTTCTGAACGTTTGCTTTTCTCCTCCCATTGCCCTAATCCCTGCTAATCGTATTTCCCCCTCCTCGTTTTTTCCTCTTTTTGAAGATCTTCTTGATGACACGTCTTGCTTTTCTCCTTTCTCACCAACCTGCATACCGCCAAGTGGGGGCAGTAGTGAGATTCCTCCTGGTTTCTATCCTCTTGAGTCTCACTAACTAACCAGGGAGTGTCCCATCTGGACAAGCGCTTCTAGCCTCCTCCTTTTCATGTCTCCTTGTCTCTAAACCAATAGTTAATTTTTATCAGCTGCCCTTAGGGCATGTGCTTTTAAAGGCAGACAAAACCCCCCCCATCATTTCATTTTTAAGGTTGGGGGCAGGGAGAGGCGGAAGGAGGGAGAATGAATAAGTTTCTGGCAGGACAAAGCACCCATATACTGAGTTTCTAACAGTCACTTTGTTCTCAGCGGAGACAACATTCAGATTGTCTCTGATTAGAAGGACACATTCCACAGGAGAACTTGAACCACATTTCAGTCTTCTTTTGATTAACAAAGATTATAAATATGAAAACCTCCAACACTGGCTAGTCTCTGGGAAAAAAAATAACTTAGAATGCCTTTTTTCCCCCCTCCTTGGGGGAAATTGCCTTTTGTGTGTGTAACTGCCTTTTGTGTGTGTTTAATTTTTTGTTAACGAAATATATATAGATATCCTGCATCTGTTGTTGAAATACACGTAGGAGTCGATATCAAATTTAGCAGGGTGCATTTGTCATTTAAGGAAATATTCTCTTCCAAAAGTATAAATAAGTATTTTTGCTGACTGATCTTCAGTACATGAGTGTTTATAGTCCCCCAAGAAATCACTTTTCCCACTCCAAAAATGTGTTTTACTTTCTAAGGATTATTGCCAATTAATAATCCATTCTTGAACAGCTTCAGTGGTTTCTCCTTTCTCACTATGTGGCATTTCAGAAAGCAGAGATAAGTACTAGCTAACACTATTAAATGGTTACTCTTCGCTAAGAGTACTTAGTACTAAGCCATCCAAGTGCTTTGCCAACATCACATTACATTTTGTCACTAGGATTTCCATTTAAAAGCAAAGAACTGAGCCAGGTAAGTTGCCTCAGACCACACAGCTAGAACTGGCTGAGCCAGTTTTGAACCGAGGTCTCCTAGGTGCCCCAGCCAGAGCTCTTGACTACTTGGCTTCTGCAGCAGTAGAGTAAGATTTTGTAGCTTTTCAACTGGATTTCACTTTAGCTCTCAGCTATTTAAATAGCTCCAGAAATGACAGTGATCTCTTTTCACTTTAGTTTTTAGCTAAGGGCCTACTAGCAATTCCGAAGGGGAGAAAACGTTCAGTCTGTTCTCTCAACAAATATCTTTTCTCTAACAGTCTTCTTGGTGCTACAATGCTTAGTCGTAATGATATCCAAACTGGTCACATGTCTTAGGAATGAATGGATACAGTCTGCATTGCATGAAAACGCTTGGGAATGTTTAGCTGAGTGCTTGAAAGGGGTGATTGTGTGTTGTGTCTTGAGCTCCATTTAAAAAATTTTTAAAAATCACAAATGTTCTTATATTTCCAGGAGACAGTGAAATTATTACACTTGGTCCATAGGTGTGTGTATACTTGGAAACTACCCCCGCCCAGAGTCCACAGAGTCCACACACTGGGCCTGTATGTGTAGTGTTCACAGATTCCCACCAACAGCCTCAATGTGCCCTCATGCATACTGGTGGTGTATATTAATGGATTTTTCTGTGGCTTCTGGTCATTCGTTTAGTCAGAAGGCAGCCATTCTCCCCCAGGATGGCATCTGAGCCGTCTCAGCTTTACAGAGGGCAGAGTGAGTTTGTTGCCACACTGGCGTACTCACATCTGGAAGCTCGAAATCCTTCACCCGGCCGGCAGTGAGTTTCTGACGTGAACCACCAGAAATGCATTGTCACTGGGGGTTCTGCCTTTGGGTGGATTTCCACTCACGGGTAGTCTGGGATCCACGCATGCTTTCTCCCCATGAAGCGGTTACTGCATTTTGCAACTTAAATCCTTTTTCTTTCTTAAAGAGTTAAGGTTAGAGAAAAAATGGTGAAAGAGGAGAGTGCTCGCAGCAGCCCTGAGGTGGCCTCCGAGCCCTTCACTCAGAGGAGACATCAGCCAGTGCCCATCCATTGCTCGTCCTTTCAGTCAGAAAATTCGGCCTTTGATAGGGTCTTGAGCAAGGCAGCCAGCTCTGCGGGACAGCCGATCCGAGGCTACGTCCAGCCGGCGGACCCCATTCACACGGCCACGCTGGTGACCTCAGAGATCCCAGAAAACGTGTCTGAATGCAGCTGGGGGGGGTCCGCCACCCAGAATGTCAGAAAGCCTTCCACCTTAAAGGTTCTAGAAAGCGAGAGAAGGGATACCCCAGTTCTCCATATTTGTGAATCGAAAGCGGAGGAAGATATGCTCTTCACCGAAGCTCTCGAGAAAAGCAGGAAATCACTTTTGGCGTTGGAGGACCATGGGCTTACGCGAAGCCACGAAGACCCCTCTGGAAACGATGACGTCGGCAAGCCTGCTGGGAGCCCAGTGCCCTCAGAACATCAGAAGGAACCAGAGAGCCTGTCACACCCGCCTCCCGCTCAGCAACCGCCCACTGAGAGGATAAGCAGACACGAGATGGTCTTGTACGTTCAGAGCCAGCCCGTGTCACAAGATGCCAGGGCGACAGGCCACAGACAGGAAGCCTTGGTGAAGAAACGCAGGGTCCTCACCCGCTCCCTGTCTGACTACACGGGCCCCCCTCAGCTGCAGGCCCTGAAGGGTAAGGACCCCGCGTTCAGGCAAGAACCGGAGCCGCAGAGTTCCAAAGCTGAAGGGCCCCCCCCGGAAGTCGGCGTGCTGGACACGAAGGTCTCTGTTGCCCAGCTCCGAAATGCGTTTCTGGAGTCTGTCCATGCCAGCAAGAAACCTGAACTGTAGGTGATGTTTCACACGCCCTCCCAATGTGTCATTTGCACGCCCTTGGCAGAATTATTCACTTTGCCACTTGCGGTGTGTCCCGCATTGGGTCCTATTAGCTTAGCTCACCAGGGTGCAGGGCAGACCGTACAGGAAATGGCTTGAAAACTACCATTCTGCTTCTGCCTACTAATAGGGAGCTACAGTACTGGGTCTCTGGACTGCTCCCCCTCCTTCAAGTGCATGGTCGGGGCATGTGGTGGGATTTGGCGGTGTCTGAGCCTTGCCTCACTGAGATGCATAAACCTTTGCTTTATTCTCTCTCTCTGTCTCTCGTTTCTCTGTGCACTCCCTCCCAATGATTCTAAAAGCCAACCCCGGGTGGAGAGGTCAACCGAAGGCGTTGGCTTGCCTACCGGTGTGGAACGGGAAAGAGGGTCCCGGAAACCAAGACGCTATTTTTCTCCGGGTGAAAGTAGAAAAACTTCCGAGAGATTTAGAACTCAACCTATAACCTCAGCCGAACGAAAGGAATCAGATAGGTAGGCACGCGTGATGTGTAGTTCTGTAGTCCAGGAACGTAAAAGCCATCGAATGGGATCTGCCCGCAGGGACAGTCCTGGCGATGTTTAAAATGGGTTGTGGTGATTCCATCGTTCCTCCATCTAATCTATAAGGGATATTTATGTGGCTTGTATATATGTATTTTTAAAGAATGCTGCCCGTGGCAACAGTATCGTAGTACAGTTTTACATTGTGTTCAGACGGTAAGAAGTGAGACACGTTATTTTTCTCTGTTTACTGTTTTTCATTTCTTATACCCTCGTTAAATTAGAAACCACAGTGAGTATTCCCCAGATTTTCCCGTGCAAAGAACTAGGGATTTTACACTCACTTTCTAAATGTCTGTCTACTTGTCGTATCTGAGTTTTACACGGTCCTATGCTTATACGTAGAGGGGATGAGGTTTGCGTACAAACTGACCAGTCGTGTTTAATGAGTCACACTCGGTTCTGATTTACCTCCACGAGGTGTGCACCTGGCTGGGTTGTGTGCACACACACTGCACTGTGTCCATTAACACCTGTATCTGTGTATTCACAACGAGGATTGCTAGCAGGATGATATTCCTTAAGAGAGTTCGATTGAATTTTTACTTTTGCTTTAACTTTTCATCTGATGTTTTATTTGGATCTTCTATTCCCACCAGCTAATTTTTTGTTATTATTATTTGCCTAATGTCTTTCCTAGGTCTGCTTCGCATTCAGAAATGCTGGCCGCGGAGGGCAAGTATCTGTTTTCCTTTTGTCGCTTCTCTGTCATCTCACCCAGATTAGGTTTCTGTAAGAGTCTGCTTTTTTGAGAGGATGAAATTTTGGAGTCTACTGATTTCTTTGCTGCAGGTTTTCTCTCTGTGACTCTAATAAAACCTAGTTGAGATTCTCGGGTGAGCTTTTCCTTATTTTTAAGAGAGTTAGAACTGTGGAATGAATAATACTGAAATTAACTGATTTGCTAAAGCAGCAGCTTTTTGTTGTTAATTTCTTGTCACTATGTAACAATAAAGAATTCCTTTCATAAAATCTATTCTTACACCTTAATTGTTCAAATATTGTCATAGAGATTTCCTGTCCAGACCGAGTTTTGTCTGGTTAATTGCAAAGGAAATTAGCACCTTTTCACTGAGCAGAAGAATGGGATCCCTCCAGGGGGAAAATATTGCCAATTATAATCTTTGGTACATCCATTCAGGATTTCCAGGGTCAGGCTTGGGAAACTTTTCAGAGACTTCACCCACATTTTTCTAATAATGTTCAGTTTTTATTTTGTGGCCTCTTACAGATGAAGAGAAGGTAGACGAACGAGCCAAGCTGAGTGTCGCTGCCAAGAGGCTGCTTTTCAGGGTAAGGTGTACTGAGGTGCCTGAAGTGAAACTGTCCCCTGCTCCCTTCATGGGGCCCTCCGGCCCGCCTGGCCTGGCCCACGTGCCTCTCAGCCCCTGGCTGGTGAGACCTCCCTACCCACGTCCCCACCCCCACCCCCACCTTCTGACACTACACAGGTGCACTCTCCTGAGAATGACATCTGCCTCACAGGGGGTCCCTCCTGGGGGGCCCTGTCAGGGAACAGAGCAGAGACCCTGCAGCCCCAGTGCCCTTTCCACAAACATATAAGGATTCCACATCGTTTCTGATCTCAGGAAATGGAAAAATCATTTGATGAGAAAAACGTTCCTAAGCGACGCTCCAGAAACGCGGCTGTGGAGCAAAGGCTGCGGCGGCTCCAGGACCGATCCCACACCCAGCCCGTTACCACCGAGGAGGTGGCCATTGCAGCCACGTAAGTCCCTCCTCCTGACCTCTGGGCCTTGGCTGAAAAGTTTTCTTGAAAAAAAAAAAAGAGAAAGAAAAAGATTTAAAGACTTTTAAGGAAAACTGAAGCGATCAGGAGATGGTTCGGTTAGACTCCACAGAGATGTTCACAATCTGGGATTTTCCTTCCTGTGGTGTCTCTGAACTTTGTAACAGGGTGTGTTGCCTGTTGTATCTCCTAGAAAAACCTCAAGACGAATTTTAATTTTTTTGGTCTGTGCCTTTCTCTTAATCTTTTTCACAGTGGAAAATTTGAACCATGAGATTAACATAATGAGCCCGAGTGTACTGACCACCGAGTTTCAACAGTCAGCAGCCCGGCCAGTCTTGCTCTCCCAAAACCCCATCCACTTCACCTGTCCTCCTGCCTCATTTTCAGGCAAACCCCAGATATCATTTCAGCAGCTGTCTCAAAAAGATAAGGGGTTGGAGGGTTTTTTGTTTTTGTTTTTGTTTTTTAATTTGTTTTTAAATAGTCATCAAAAAACCGTAAACAATTCCTTGGAAATTTGAGGACTTTCCAGTACTTGAGTAGTCCACTCCAATATGTTCAGAATGAATTTCCCAAACTAATTCATTCAGAGATAATTGCTTCAATCAAGTGAAAACTTTTATTGGGTTTTTAGAAATGGTTTTCATGCTTCCACCCCAGACCCACACGCAGCCTTCCTGGAGAAAGTGTGTTCATCTCATTCAGGGCATGGACACCCCAAGAGGCATCTGTGTTGCAGCCCACACCGGTGGGCCTGCTGTTAGAGCAGCTGCTCACGTCCTTACCCAGCTGTTCCTCAGCTTCCTGGTGTGTCTGTGGAGGGGCACTTCTTGTGTTCATTAGGAACTCTTGAGCAGATCAGCTCTTTTGGTTTTTTATTTTTTCTTATTTTTTTAAATTTTAAAATTTAAAAATTTTTTAAAAAAGATTTATTTTATTTGACAGAGAGAGACACAGCGAGAGAGGGAACACAAGCAGGGAGAGTGGGAGAGTGAGAAGCAGGCTTCCCACGGAGCAGGGAGCCCCATGTGGGGCTCGATGCGGGGCTTGATCCCAGGACCCTGGGATCATGACCTGAGCCAAAGGCAGACACTTAGTGACTGAGCCACTCAGGTGCCCTAGTTCTTTTGTTTTTTTAATGTTTGAGGAGCTGTTGTTTACCAAGAAGCAACTACTCGTGGGAGCAAAAGAGTAAATGTAAACAAAAATTATCACCTTGTAAGGCTCCCTGAAGCTACTTTGATGTGTGTGTAGGTTATAGGAGGATACTGATTTTCCACAAAATTGGCTGAGTACAACATTCTAAGACATGAGCGTAATCTACTGATTTGCCGGTGGCTGATACTAGCTTTTTCTTAAGTTATTTTTTTAAAAATCCAGACATTTATTCTGAAGTCAGGGTAATTCCTTTCCAAGCTTTAAAAACCTAATCTTACTCCATTTACTTTGCATCATCTCTGTCTCTTAGTTCCTCAGTTTGTAATTGCTTTTCAAGTTCTTTGGTAATTTCCCCCAGAGTACCTATAAATAATTTTGTTAAAATATTTACGGTTTCTGAAATTTAAAACTATGTTTTCCTTTAACGCTTCTTTTCTTCTCTCTCCTCATGAATGTTCCTTCTTTGGCAATTGCCTTTAAAGTGAACCTATCCCTGCTTCGTGCTCTGGGGCCACCCAGCCTGTAATGGCGAGACTTCCTAGTCCCAGTGTAGCTAAGAGCACTGTGCAGCCTGCCAGGTACTGGACGGAAGTAGCTGCATGCGGCCCTCAGGCCAAAGGTCCTAGACAGCAGATGCATCTCATTATCCTGAATGTCTTTCATGTGTTTGAGAAACGAGTCAGTGCAAGGAGTTGCCTTTGGGGATGGGCGCCATTTTGTTTTGTCGTAGTGCGAGACGCTGCTAACTTCCTATAGGCCTGCATGAGGAAACCTTTCATCTCCCTGCTTACAACATGTATTGGAACTAGGATCACACTAACTCACTCATCCATTTGTTTTGTTTCTGTTTTTCATAATCACGGTCTTCTCTAAGAAATTTCATCCTCCATCTAAATTACTAGCACTTAATAAAGGTTAATACGAAAATAAGGACTCGACATGAATGTTGAAATTCTAGTAATACCCTGGTTTTTGTAAACACTTGTAGTCATGAATACACGCTAGAAACAACTGTATCTCTTTCTAATGTACAGAGAGACAAGGTCATGACTTTTGGGGATTGAGACAATAATTATCTATGGAGTCTGAGCTTAGATGTTTTACTACTAAGCTTTGAATTGTGTTTTGAAAGTATGTCCTTATGGCACATAGGTGTCCCCTGTTTTGCTGTGAGGGACCAAAACACAAGGGCCAAAAATAAGTTTAAAGGAAGTCAGACGGCAGTGCAGAAATAGGTCTGGCCCCACCCAGAGGTAGGGGTCTACTGCTCTTTAGTCTGGGGTAACTTGTGAACTGGTGATTCACTGGTGTTCAGACAGAATATGCTGTCCACTGGGTTTGAGAACTGGATTTGCCGGTGGCCTCAACCTACGTTGTCATAAACCTTCCAATATCCACCGTGACCAGGTAATAGGAGGCCTTCTCCCCCACCCAGAAGCTGGAGGGATTTCGCAGCACCTGAAATGCCCTTTTTCAAGTTGCTGGGAGTTACAGATCTCTGTACCTTTCAGAAAAGTGGTAGGAAGCTATGAGAGAAAATGATGCACTAAAGGAGCGAAGGAATCTTTAAAATCGATCTATTTGTGTTTAGTAAGTAAAAATCGAAACTCCTTGTTCCCAGATATATTATTGACAGAGTGACTGGATTATTTCCTAGTCCTATAAAAAGAAAAGAATACCTCTGAACTACATGTTTATTTTTTTAAAAAGATTTATTTAATTATTTGAGAGGGTGAGAGAGAACAGGGTAGAGGGGAGGAGACAGAGGTAGATGGAGAAAGTGAGTCTCAGGCAGACTCTGGGCTGAGTGCGGATCCTGACACAAGGCTCGATCTCACCATCCTGAGATCATGACCTGAGCCGAAACCAAGAGTCGGATGCTCAGCCGACTGAGCCACCAAGGCACCCCCGAACCACATATTTGGATAGTGTCTAGACATGCCATAGATAATGCTTTGGGATTCTCTTTTAGCCTTATTTGTTGTTGATACCACTGATATACCGTCTCTCTAAGATAAGGTATATCCAAGCTGACTTCGGTCTCTTAAAGAGGAAATTCACTTTTTAGAAATAATTTAGAGATAAAGTTCTGCCTTCATGACATTGGTAACAGTCTCTGCTATTCACGGGCTTGTTAATAGCTAAACAGTGCCTACACCTGTCTTCAACTTTTGTAGGGAGAAATCAATCCTTTTCAAAATTAAGTGACACTTGGAAGAGAGTTAATATTCAAAATTTGGCAGTGGGCTTTTTGTCTGTGTTGATCTCTGTCACTGATTTTTTTTTTTTTTTTAATGTTTATCCCTTTCAGATTACAGGCATCTGCTCACCACAAAGCTTTAGCCAGAGACCAGGCAAATGAGGGCAAAGATTCTGCTGAACAAGGTGAACCTGACTCCTCCACTCTAAGCTTAGCAGAGAAGTTGGCCTTGTTTAACAAATTGTCTCAGCCAGTCTCAAAAGCTATTTCTACCCGAAACAGAATAGACATGAGACAGAGGAGAATGAGCGCTCGCTATCAGACTCAGCCGGTCACGCTCGGGGAGGTGGAACAGGTGGGTACACTGTAAGTCTAATCCAGTGTGCGGGAATGTTCTTAAAATGCAGGATTGTGCTGTTGGCTCCTAGATGGAATTAAGTTGATAAACTGTATGACCTCTCGGGAGTCTGGTAATAACTTCTTTCCTCAGAAAGATAGCCATGCCGAGTACCTTTTTCTTTTCATGATTTGCTTGCCGAAATCATCTGGAATGAATCCATTATGGAGAAAAGAATAGGATGAGAAATCTGCTTTTCACCCGGATGATTTTGATTAATGATTAATTTTGATTAAGAAAATACATCTTCCTGGGGCGCCTGGGTGGCTCAGGAGGTTAAAGCCTCTGCCTTCGGCTCAGGTCATGATCTCAGGGTCCTGGGATCGAGCCCGGCATCAGGCTCTCTGCTTAGCAGGGAGCCTGCTTCCTCCCTCTCTCTCTGCCTGCCTCTCTGCCTGCTTGTGATCTCTCTCTGTCAAATAAATAAATAAAATATTAAAAAAAAAAAGAAAATACATCTTCCTGCTAAGACAAGCTGTGAAACTGCCCCCAATGTAGTCGTTCATTCTATGTCAGTCCCTAAACTGAGATTTATATAGATAGTATTTTTGAATCTGCTTTTTTGCACTTTAACTATGTCCTTCCAGGTGCAAAGTGGAAAGCTCATTCCTTTCTCACCGACTGTTAACACCTCTGTGTCCACTGTGGCATCTACGGTCACACCGATGTACGCAGGGGATCTTCGGACAAAGCTGTCTGTGGACGACAACACGAGTGCCACTGACTATAAGTTTCCTTCTTCGATAGAAAATTCAGATTCTCCGGTTAGAAGCATCCTGAAGTCCCAAGCCTGGCAGCCTTCAGCAGAGAGTAGTGGGAGCAGAGGAATGTTGAGAGAGTTTGGAGAGGCCGAAAGCAAGAGAGTTTTGACAGGTGGAGATGGTGGTAAAAAGTACGGGTCCTTCGAGGAAGCAGAGCCATCCTGCCCTACCTTTAACAGAGTCCGGGAAGGAGACAGCCATAAGGAACCCAAATATGCCGTTCCGAGAAAGGGCAGCCTGGAACTAGGCCATCCTCCCGTCGCCCACCTTGGTGACGAGCTGAAGGAATTCTCCATGGGTAAAAGTCTCGCACAGGGGAGCCCAGACTTGAAGGACAGGCAGCCCTTTGAAGAGAAGGTCGACATGGAGAATGTCCCAAGAAGGAAGTTTTCACTAAGAGGTAGGTTACTGCTCCGGAAGTTTTAGAAACCACCTGGGTTTTTGGTATTGGCTTGATTGGTTGTGTGTGTCTGTGATTATTTTTAATTAAAGTAGGAGGACAGTTTATAACTCGTATCGATTACAAATCACAAGTGAATCCCACTCTTCTCCAGACTTCTCTTCCCCTTGAATCTGACCTGTTCAGTGGATCGATCAGTTTCCAACAATAGGAATGCCAGAGCTCTCGCACACGAGGATTCACTCACATAAGTCTTGTGAAATGCTAGCCCTGTTGGCCCCTTTTGTGACTTGGTGACCCCAAAGGGCTGTGTTAAGCACAGGGAATGAAGACTTGAACCCAGGACTGTGGATTTCCAGACTCCTTCCATGGTCCTGGTACGCAGACTGGTAAGCTCCGCTACTTGGGGCTTTCATTCTCCTTCTGCATTTATAGAAAATGATGGCGTGTAAGTTACGTTGGTGGTTTTAGCATGTGATTCCGGCCACTGGCAATGTGAAAAGGATTGTTTTGGAGGAGAAGAAGCATTCCGTAGTGTGTAGTAAAAGCTCTCTTCCTGTGTCTTGCACACAGGAAAAGACCAGTTGTCACAAAACCTCCCGGGCAGATTGGTTTCCTCACAGAGGATGGCGTGCTACAGATTGGCGTGAATCCATGCGGATTGGGTGACACCCCCCACGCCCCCAGATAGCACTCCATGTGTGGGGCCGCTCGGGGTAGATAGCTGGAGGAATGTCTGCCTGGAGGAGGGAATGCTGACGTGGCTCCTCTCTTCCCAGCTGCAGAGTTCGGGGAGCCCCCTTCTGAGCAGACGGGTCTGGCTACTGGGAAGACTGTGGCCCCCACCGCAGCCCCCGTGTCCTGGAGGCAGCAAGATCCTGCAGAACCAGGGCAGGAGAAATACTCCAGGAGTCCGTGTGCGATGTTCGCTGCCGGAGAGATCAAAGTGCCTGTGGTGGAGGGCATCCTCGATTCAGCCGGCAAAACCATGTCTATTAAAGAGAGGTAACGTGATTGAATGATGGCAGAGTAATTCTCCTGGGGGTGGAGCTTACATGTTGCTGGTAGGAAAAGCTCCGAGTGATGGGCAGAGATGACGTCATGAGCACACAGAGGGCGGTGACGCTATAGGAGTGCCAGTTTTGGACTCAGGTATGGGCGCGAGCGGATGCTGACTTGTGCTTACTTATTTGTTTGGGGTTCCATTTTCTCTTTTTCCTATGAAATTCTTGCACTGTCCCATGATGGGAGCAATGATCTTGGCTCTTTCCCCATCAGACATGTGGCTTCAAATTGAATGCACTTAAGCCTTCATGACTGTCTATGTAAAGTGTATGTAGATGGAATGAGGATAATTTGGGACAGACATTTTTGGGATTAGAACCCAAGTTTTATTTATCCTACAGAAAGGGAAACGGGAGGACTCTTGTTTAGAATTTTTATATCAGGTAATAGCTGTGAAAGATTACATTGGAATATCCAGTAACACTGTAACCTCATTTCCAAAAATCGAATGGAGGATTGAGAGGGTATATTTAAATGGGACAGGGACAAGGAACCAGGGCTAAATATTTCAGGCTGTGTTTTCCTTGTTAGCCTTTAGCCACTGTGGAATTAAACAGCAAAAGATGTCATAGCGATAAAAAGACTAGATGCAGAAAGATCTCTATACTTTTCCAGGGTGACCAGCCCAGCTGTGTCCGCCATCCGCTCTGCCGGCCGGCACCCTTCCTTTACACCTCCTGCCATTTGGAAGCTTTCTTCCTCTGCCAGACAGCAGCCACTCTGATTTTTCTGGATACATTTTGCACTGCCTAAGACTATATATCAAACCACAATCAAAATTCCTCATTCTGCTTTTCAAGTCCAAGTTTTTTGAGCCCCATGCTTAAAAAGGTTAGATAGACGGGGACTTTTTCAACCGACAGATTAGTAAGGTTGTTAAATCTTACGTACTTTTGCCTTCACTTGTTTCAAATTCACAGTAGATGAGACTGCTGGACTGGGGCTTAGATGAAGGGGAAGATAATACCCCATCAGCTAAATGGGAGTGAGGTCTTGAATCAGAGACACTGGCCTGTGCTGGTGTGAATTCCTCCTCCACCAAAACCTGGCCCAGGGAGAATTTGATCCCAGAGATCCTACTCCTCATAATCGGTTGGATGAGAAGGAAGAGACATCATTTAAGGGAATTAATGACAAATACCACTTACACACAAGTTCAGGTGTTTCATACATTGGAAAATATTCCTGGGGTAAAATTTCAGTGAAAGATACCAGTATGCCCCCTTCTTTCACAGGCTCTTAAAGGAGAATCCCCATCTTTGGGTATAATCTGTCTGTTGGGACTTTGGACTTTCGAGGAAGAAGTTTTGTGTCTCTCCACTGTGCAGTAATTCTTGGTTTACCTGCCTGTTTATGGTAAATTTGGTATATTTTCTATTAGCATAATTTACGACGAGCTTAGCTGCTAATACAGGATGAGAGACACTTCTCTTAGAAAATATATCACCAGTGATCTTTCCCCCCTTATGTTGATAGTATTTTTATTTGTACTTTGCTGAAAACACAAACTATGTTACCTTTACAGTCCATCTGTAGTGGTTTTTCCTGAAGCAGGGCTCTGATCCCTCCCTTCTGTTCAGAAAGAAAGAATGAAGCTTGACCTATTTAAAATAAGAATGCTCTTTGTATATTATTTGGCCTTTTTTTTTTCCTTTTGTGATGTAACATATCACGTGGAATTTTCAAACTTTATTTTAACTTCTGATTGCCCTGTTTCACCAAAGTAGGAGTTCGGTTCCAAGGACCACTAAAGCCCAACGGGGGCGATGGGACCGACTCCAGGGGCTGGCCTCCGACCTCCCCTGGGTAGCTGGGGTGAGATTGTCGTATGCTCACGCTGCTGGGTTAGCCGCTCACCTGTGTTCCAACTAGGAAACTGAACAGAGGACTGAAATGTCAGCGAGACAGGGGTGGGAAAAAGATTCGCCTCCTCCTGAATGGATTTTCTCAATTCATGTGTTCTTTGCATGGCTTATTTCCAATTCTACGTTCACATCTGACTCTTAGTAAGAGGTAGAGACTGGACTTCGCAGATTTCCTTCATTGTTTTTAGAAAGCTGCAGCTTTGACTTCCTCAGCCTTGTGCATCCGTCTCTTTCCTGCTTGGGAGGTGGGCCTGTTGAGTCCTTCATTCTGAGGGACACCAGGGGTCATCTCCCTCCCTTGGAATTTCTTATGGACCACCTCACTTAGTACTGAAGGCAGCCCTTAAAGGGAGGCAATGCTGTCCCTGTTTTGTACTCTGATAACTGGGACTTGGAAGAGTGTAACAACTAAGAAATCACAGGAAAGCCTCAGTATGCTCCTCTTCTGGGGGAAGCTGGCTGTTCAAGGAGATGTCCCTAAAGGCTCCTTTTCTTTCTTCCTCTTTTCTGATGTCCTCAATGTCAAGTTTGAACCATAACTAGCACCACTCAGGCTACCCATTGGCTTTTTGCACTGGATTAGTAAAATCAACTGTTTCATAACTGCCTAAATGATTTGGGTTTAAATTGGCCCTGTTCGGGTACTTCTTATTCTAAGTCAAATAAATTGTGTGTTCTTTAGGGGTAAGGCCCTTGAGACCTCTTTAGAAGTATACTAGGCTATTGGGAACCTTATCCACAGTTACCAAAGCAACTGTAGCTGTGCTTTCGGATTCAGGAGAAGATTCCTAAACAAGGCAACAAAGCCATCCTCTCACTGGGAAACTGGTGGAGTGTGAGGGCTTAGGTGAACTCCCAGAGGGGCAAAGAATGTGCCCCTTGGCCCTCACCAGCCTAGCAGTCCGCCCTGCAGAGTTCCGCTCTGGTCCCTGCGTTCCCCCCTCCATTCTCCTGCTTTCCCCCAACCCCCGCCCCACCAGCCGGTGTCCATGCTTCCCCCATAGGGACTGGAGGGCTCTTGCTCAAGATTTCAAGATTTCAGCCACCAGAGGGCCCCCAGATTTACGTAAGAATTCAGGCCCCAGGAGTCTTCTCTGATCTTTGATGTGTCCTCATTTAAAAGACACAGGAGCTCACTCCAGCAGCCTGCAAACCAGCCAAGACCAAGATCTGATAGGAGGACTGATTTGTGCTGGTCTGTCCTATCTGAAATCTGTGGGGTGCCGGTGATTCAAAGGGGGAAGGAAAAAAAAAACAGACTTAAGATTAGGGGAACATGGTTTGCCTGTCCCACATTTGACCCAGCCCCAACGGCAGGGAGCCTGCAAAACCCGTTCTAATCAGGCTGGCCTCTTAGACTGGGCTGAACACAGGCCTGTCAGGCCAGCATTCCCTGCTGAGAAAGTGTGGGCCTTGGCGAGAGAGGCAGACATTTCCCCGGGCGGCCTTGGAAGCACACAGCGCCTGTGGCCCCCAGCCAGGCCTTGGGGTTAATAGGCTAACCCAGTGCCACTCACAGGGCTCCCCGCCTCAGACCAAGCAGATGCCCAGGCTGTCAGCATCACAGCCCTGCAAATAGCGCTCGGACTTGGCGGATGTGAAAAGCGCTGACAGTTGTTTGAATTGCATAGTCGTGTGTGGGAGCAGACCTTTCGCTCCTCGGCCCCCACCAGCGGGTTGTGGAATCACAGGAGGAGGGTTTGGAAAGGTCTCCTGCCCTTCCCGGCCTGCGGATCACCAAGTGGGGAATCCATAATGCATAAAATTTTCAGCGTGTGTTATTCGTTAAGTTAGCCGTCATTGACACTCAGTAAGCCAGGGCAGGGTCCAAGTACTGTGTGGCCTAAGTTAAAATACTGGTTGTTCCACGTGATTCTGCTGACCCTGTAGTCCTTGGAAGTGCCTGATGAGACCCTGCCAACACATCCAGAAGCAAGATTTCAGGTTTGGGGCCTGAAATGAAGGCCATCACAGGGGAGAAAAAAGCCAACATTATAAGAAACCCAGAATACTATGCAGTCTCTAAAACATTCGGACACAAATGGGTCTGGTTAGCTAATGCACTAATGGAGACAGACAAGCCATACTCTGGGAGGCAGGGCACCCCTCCCTGCGCACAGCATCTCCCTGCCCCTCCCCTCTAACCACCCCCCCTCCCCACCTGACACGCAGTGTGACCTCGGTCAGTGAAATCCTTCGCCTGTGTGTGCACTCATGCCTCGTCTGTCGCCTTAGGAATAATCTCCAGTTTCTTTGGAACCAGTAGAGCATGTTGTAGAGTCCACAGTTTGTTTTTTCTAAGTCAGGTTTACGTGCACTCGGGGCAGCCCTCAAGGAAACCATATGGTTATTTGGGTTATGTTTTCATTGCTCCAGACACCCAGGAGCTTTGTTTCAAGAATGTCCTCAAAGACTGTAGCGCAGGATTTCCCATAAGCCCAGCTCATGGGGATGAATTTGACTTTTTAGATTCTCTCAGCTCACTTGGGATCAAATCCGATTAAAAAGGTAGATGGTCAACATGAAGAACTACCGTCTGTGTCAAAGGGGGAGTAAGAGAAGCTGGCCCCGAGACCAGTTTGCAAGGAGAATATCGGGGAGATGAATGTCTCTCATGAGATGGCACGTTGGAAGTACTTCCTCATTCAGGTGTAAAAATACTGGCATGCTCACTTTTTTAAAATCTCACTTGTAGATACTTGGAAATACTCTGTGCAAGTACATAGATACTTTGAAAGCTCTATGCAAATACTAGTTGTTTTTTCATGATCTGATTTTATTTGGTTATTTTTTCTTAGTGGCGTAAAACTGATTCATTCAGAATAATTAGAGAAAAAAGAAATCATTGTGTAGTCTGATGAAAACACCTGAAGGCACTGAGCATTTATTTTCAAGTACATGAACTGGCCCTGGTAGCCTGCAGAATACTGTCAAACATCACAGGCTATAGAATGCAGGGCTAAATGGAACCCTCAGCCAAATGGGGCCTGTCTTAGGATTTTGACTCTAATTGCCAATGTGGGTTATTTTCCTCCACCACCAAGCATGTCTCTGACCCCAGCTGGGAGTCCTGCAATTCAGCAAATTCTGACACTGTCTACTTGGAGATGGCTTCAGATGCCACAGGTTAAGGGCTCTGTTGCATAAGGATGCCCCCTTAACACACACTGTCACATCAGATGCTAGAGGAAGGTTCAGGTTGTCTCCTGGACTTTTGACCCTATATGCTACAGATTGGAGGTTCCAATGACCCCCCTCCTTGGGTTTGGTTTACTAGAGCATCCTTACTAGATCTCAGCCTTCTTATAGAAGCTTATAACACAGGAATAGCTGGATGGAAGAGATGCATAGGGTAAGGTATAGAGAAAGGGCGTTGAGCTTCCAATCCTCTCTGAGTCCCATCCTTCTGGGTATTTATGGAGACCTCATTCCATAGGCATGGTTGATTGGATCATTGGCCATTGGTGACTGATTCAGCCACCAGCCACTCTGCCCTCTGCAGAAGTCAGGGAATAGGACTGTAAGTCCCACTTCTCTAATCACATACCACATGATTGGTTCTCCTGGCCACCAGTCCCCATCCTTAAGGGCTTCCCTAAGGTCACCTGATTAATATAAAGACAACTCTGTCATTCTCATCACTTGGGAAATTTCAAGGGGTTTAGCAGCTCTAGGCCCAGAAGGGTGATGAAATCCAAGAACAAATTTCTTATTGTAAATCACAATATCACAATAAGGTGGCATTGTATCAGTTTTATAGAATGGTCTTGTGAGGTCTTATGTGCTGTAACACAGCGGAAAGGAAAGAAAGGAAAAGGAAGAGAAGGGGATACGTCCAGAACTTGAAGCTCCTTCCCTTTTAGGGGACTCCTTTTCTTTGTGCTTACTTTCCATTCTTTGGATGAATAGACAAGGTATGATTATGTACAAATTTTTAGATGGAAGTAGATTCTTATTTAAGTACTGCAAAATTTGTTTTTCTTATTTGCATAGGAAAACTTTCATTAGCGGAGTCAGGAAGTTGGGTAGAAGGGACCTAAGAGACCATTGAGTCCAGTTCCCAGAATTACCAACAAGGAAAGGATGCCAGGCTGCTGGGCCAGAGTTCACGGCCAGGCTAGAGCTGATGTGCTGCTTTCAAGTATGCCGTTTATGGACATGCACTAGGATGTTCAAAAGACCCCACCCAGCAGGCTCGGCAGAGAAGAACGACGGGGGCTGTCTAATGCCTTTCCCCCCCCCAATCTTTACATTGTTTGAACAGCAGCTGAAATGAGTTTAGTAATCACTTTTTTTCCTTTCATCTTTCCTATGTCTGGCCAACTTCAGTGCCTGAGATGGCTTCATTCATCATAGGAGAGCAAGCTGGAGAAACCTTATGCTCACGGAAACAGCCTTTTCCCAGGCTGTAGCATCTAGGTAGCTTGGTACCAGGTCACATCAGATTGAGCTAAAGTAGGTTAGGTAAAAAACCCCAATTAATTAGATTCTTTTTTTGTATGTGGTTTTCCCCAGGAGGAAAGTTGGAGTCATTTTAAAACATTTAAAACAGGTTTGTAGAGAATAGTTTCCATATTAAGATGGATTGGAGAGACCAAGTAACTTTGGAGGAAAAGAACAGGGCTTAGAGTACAGAGAGACGAAAATCTTAAACATCTTCTTTTGCCTTTTCTTGAAAGATATGAAGTGATTGTCAGTTCTTTATAGTTTTAAGTTTTTAAAGCCATTTCTGCTAAATTTTCTGCAAAGGAGTACTGTCCATCCAGCTCTAGTTGTTAAATGTTATTCCACAAAGTGACCAGAAGGGGTCACTAGAAAACATTTTTCTCTGGGGATGGTTTACCTTCATCTCCTTGTTCTCAGCCCAAGGGCAAGAAAAAAACAAAGGTAATTCCTCTGGTGGAATGTTGATGCTAAGATTTGGGGGAAGGGACATCTTAGAAAAGGGGATGCTTGTATTAATTTTCCAGACAGAACTTTGTTCAGAATAAATGAAACTCAAAAAGATTGAAAGTAGGTAGCTGTGGTCATGTTTTGGCCAAAGACTAACTTACCCAAACTATGCTTCTGTTACAAGGTAGAGTTTAGTGCTGAACCCCTTTTGGTTGGCCTGTTTTCCCCCCAGGTTAGCGCTGTTGAAGAAGAGTGGGGAAGAAGATTGGAAAAACAGACTCATCAGAAAGCAGGAGTATGGCAAGGCGTCTGTCACCAGCAGCCTGCACATCCAAGAAATGGAACAGTCCCTCAAGAAGAAGGTAATGTTCTCCATGTTCAGAAAAAGCATTCAACTAACATCATGCTTGGAAGTGTATCAGCTAGGCAAGCATGCCCTAACTAATGTCCACTCTGGGAAGCGCTGTCTTGCCTCGGGTACACACTGCACATCTGCCTCACAGCAGCCAAAACTGATCAAAAGGTCAAGCCTTGAGATGCTATCAAAGTGCGAACAGCACTGTGGACGTAGTGCGTGGAGTAAGCAAGTTCCTCCATTTTGAAGTGTGTACTTCACGTCAGTTTAAAACCTTCCAAAGCGAAGTCATTTTGGCGTTACAGTGTTGTTAAAACCTTTAGAGTAACAATCTTCAGTTGACCACGAGCCGTTTATAAGATGCATATACAATGCGGTCTTGAATGTCCTGTGCTAAGATTTAAAAACTGAAACATACAAAACAAGAACATATGTGTGGTCAGTGAGCACTTATTTTCTTATTACTTATTATGGTGAGCGTGCTTTACAAGGAGCCAGGTATGCCTCTTGTTGAGCATGTATAGCAAAATTCGTTACAAATTAAAAGCAGGTAATAAAAACAAAAACAAAAAACCAAGTAATGCTCTGTGATCGATACGGGCAAGTGTTTCGATACTGACATGTTGTTAAATTACTAATGTGATGATGACCAGCTTTGGACCAGTCAGTGCGCACTCTCAGAGCTGATGGTGAGTTTCCTGTCGCTTGTCCCTACGCTTGCAAATGCATGTCCTGGCTGGGGACAAGGCGGCCACCTGTCACACGTCCACTGGCCAACTTCTAGGATCAAAAGTCTTCAAACAGAAACAAACAAAAACCCCAAAAAACCAACAGTTCCACCAGGATAATCCCCTGTAACTCTTTTAGTTCTAAAACAACTTAGCATCTATGGAAGAGAGGAACTGTGAATGTGGCCGGTAGCCATTCAGAAACTTCCATGGAAGGGAGGTGCCCATGTAGGATGCTAAGGCGGGAATTCTGGTGCTGTTTGATATGGTCCTTGTGAATCCTCTTAGGTTGAATTGAAAGAAAAATTTGAATTTTCTTGTTTGAGACATATAAGATATTAAAGATAGTGACTGAAAACATCATTTTAGCCGTGAGAATTCTGGTGGTATTTGATATGGTCCTTGTGTGTCCTCTTAGGTTGAATTGAAACAACAATTTGAATTTTCTTGTTTGAGACATATAAGATATTAAAGATACTGACTGAAAACATCATTTCAGCCATTTGTAAAGTTCTCTAATATAGCTGACTTAAAAGCATGTGGGCGAAATCTGGATTTCAAAAATGAGATCTTGAAGTGGAAAAAAACAATAACAAAAACCGGGGTCCCTCGATGTATCCCTGTTGCTCACACACTTTATTTAAAAGGGTCTTGAAATCATCAGTTCAACAATAACTTTAACACTCACTCCTTGTTGGTCATTTTGGAAGATGCAGAGAAGCCGTAGGAGCTGACAGGCCCATATGGGGCTGGCGAAAATTCAGATACAGCTCTCATGCAGAAAATTCAGATACAGCTCTCAAGGTAGCTGGGCTCCTTGGGAACAGTGAATGGGATAGGTGCCCTACCCCTTAAAAGATGGGGGGGATCATTTGAGCTGTGAGTAGAGGATGAGATCTGAACAGCATCCCACTTAGGTTTTCAGAAGGTGGGAAGGCTGAGATGGTGACTGTCTTTGCCTGTCGGGGAGAGCGCAGCCCACAGGAGCGCCGGGGCTCTAAGCATGCCTGGGGCCCGAGTGTGCAGACGTGTCTCCGTGCTCCTGGACATTGCAGAAGCCGCACCCATCGTGAATGCACTCTTCCTCCTCCTCCAACTCCTCCTCCTCCTCTTCTCCTCCTCCTCAGTGACCTAGTTCACCAGGGCCTGAGACAGTAAGCTCTTTGAAGTTAAAATAAGCCGATCTATTTTGGGCTTTTGTAACAGACATTGGGAAATCTCAGGTTCTGTTGAGGTCAAGTGGTTTTCACATGGCCCCTGATAAGCCCTCGGCTTCTTTTCATCCTAAGGGCTGGCAATATATTTCAGTAACACCTTCGCTGGGCTCAGATGTGAGGTGCCTTAAACCTAATCTGTCTTCAGACGGTCCCCCAACAGCTGAAGGGTGCTCGAGAGATGCCTCTGCTCCTGGGTGTCTGAATACTGCTTGGAGAAAGAAAGACATTCATACCATGTGGTGCATGCAGATGGGATCTGGCTGCCTGGGCTGGATCTAGACTTGCTGATGGAGAACTCTGCTAAGGGGAGCAAGTTCTAGAACCATCCATCTTTTCCACCAAGAGAAGAAGAGAGCTGGTTATACAGTCAGGGCTTCACTTCCAGCACAGTTTGCGAATTCATCAAAGGCACAGAACTGTGGTGGCCAGACATTTTCCCGTCCACCCTCCTCTAGCTTTTGTATGTTATAAGCACAACCCCATGAGCTGCAGCCTGGGGAAATGCAGAAGAGGCAGGAAATAGAGACGGGACTCCCTGTAAATCATGCCCGTGGCCCCTATGAAAATCCTCGCTGTCCAGTAAAAATAAAATGTGAGCCGCATATGTAATTTTAGATTGTCTAGTGGCTGCATTAGAAACCAATGAACGATGCCTTGAAAGATCTGTAAGGGTCTTGTTTCTGTCAAAGAGTTTGTCCCCAGACAAAACAAATTCCTGATGCTCTAACCAGCATCCCGTTCTGGATCCTTCCTGGGAAGAAAATCTCTCTTGGCCCATGAATAGATTTGGGGAACTAAGAGCTTCCCATTCCCTATAAAAAGACTGGTTGTGTTTCAGAGAACACCTCACTTAACAAAAGTTCCCTGCTTTCCAGATTTATTCTGCCACACACCGCCCCCCTCGCATCGGGATGGATGATTTGGAGCTTCAGAGCGCAAATCATTTGTTTACTGGACTCTCTCCTTTCCTGTAATAACCATTCTGGGTTCTTCCTCTTTCCTCTCTCTCTCTCCCCCTTTCTCTCCCCTTGCTGCTCTTCTCTTCTTCTCTCTCCTTTCTCCTGTTCTTGGCTTAGTCCAGGGCAGGGCTAACCTGACTTAAGCATGTCTGCTTTTGTAGCAAGTATAATTAGTTATGAAGATGGGAAAGCCATGTGGTTTGTGGATTTGGCCAGGTCCACACTGTCCGGAATGCGTGCACTTGAGCGCGATCCGTAGACCGGTCCCTCCAGGCTAACTCATTCCATCCAAAAAGCGAGAAAAATGAAACAAAGTTTTCAAAGCGGGAGTCTCTCCGTTACCACTCAATTGCATTTATTTATTTATTTATTTATTTTAACCAAGTGATTATTTTAAATTTCCACCTCATTTTGGCATGTTTGACATCAAGGTATGTCGTGACTCCCCTACAGTTTAAGATAATCATCCAATATATCAGACTTTTTTCCAGGAAATAAAATCCCTTTATAGAACGTGCCATTACAAGTTCTGTGTCTGAGTCACAGATGTGGAGTTAATTTCCAGCTGTGCTCAGTAGTATCAGGTCAGTGAATCAAGCTAAGATCTGTGATGTCCCGAAGCATGTTCTTGAAAATTCAACGAAGGTAAATCTGCCACATTCACGTTCTAATTGTCTGCTGACATTGAAATTCCAAATCACAGTTCAGGAGAAAGAAGTCGCCTCAAAGAGCTAAGGGAGGAGGGAGAGAAAGGCTGAGGGTATGATCTCCAAATGAAAGATTATCATCGCACTGTTGGGATAGGAGTTTCCCTGGTGTTTGTGTCACCGACTGTGTGAGCATGTTTGTGCATGCGTCCAAGTGAGCCCAGGCTCCATATCCTTGAGAATGCTTGTGACACCCTAACCCTACCCTACTCTTCCAACACTCTGCAATGTTTCCTGTTTGTTTTAACCTGTAGGAAGAAGGAGGATTTGCAGATGATAGTGCCATTTCTAATCTGCTTTGGGTAAGCCTGACTCTAACGTAGCTGTCCTCTAGATTCTAGCTACAATTCGACCTCGCCATGTATAATTTTCATCACTGGTGTTTCCGTTTTAAACCCTCGCTGTTTGGTTTCTTGCCCCCAGGCAAGATGCCACCTCTATCCAGAGAAGACAGCTATCCTGTTTCTTTAATTTTTTTTTAATCGTATAATGATAAACCTTAAAGACTTTAAGTAAAAGATTTTATGGTAAATGCTGAACCTGTCGATGAACTTCGGGGTTCCCCTCTCTGTAACTGAATATCGCAGAGACTGCAGTAATCTTGTCATTAACTCATGTAATTACTGCACAGAACTGACTCGGTTGTATTTACTGTGCTGGTGTGGGTTTCTGTTAGCTCTCTAAGAAAACAAACAAATAGAAGGGACTGTCTTGAAAAGAGAACTGAAATTGCAATGAGTAAATTAACATCCTGGTCAAGATACCTCGTTTTTGTCTCTACTCCTCCCCTCCCAGCTCTGATAAACCTTCTCTTTTCACCTCTAATCCTCTTGCTTTGCTCTATAGGAACCTGTATATGCTTCTATTTATTCTCCTACTATACCTGCTGCCCATAAACACCTGTCTTTTGTATCTGTTAATCAGGTGAGGAAAAGCCTATGCATTTTAAGCCTCATTGCAATTTCTGAGCAGTAGGGAAGAACTTGTTTCATTTGGGGACATAACTCCTTCGCTGCATTTCAGTGTGTGTGTGTGTGTGTGTGTGTGAGTGACAGAGAGAGAGAGTTCAGTTCTTGTATAATTAGAGTTAGTCGCACACGTCACATCCATGGGTCAGACTTTTAGGTAGACTTGATGGCATTCTTTGACTTTGTAATTGTGAAACCGGTTTAAGAGAAGAATTTCCCCTTTTAATGTCCAAGGTAAGTCAGAAGCCCAAGGACTATGCCGAAGTGTTCTGCTCCCAGTTGGGAACAGTGCTATCTTGCTAGGCTTGATAAAGGAAGACGTGGAGATGCGGTGGAGGTAGGTGGGTGTGGACGGGTCAGAGAGAAGGTAGAGCAGGGAAGAGTCTGGGCTGATAGGACCTCCTCACAGTGATTTACTAAGATGAGAG